CAAAAAATGTATCATAAATGGAGAAAATAAAAAAACTAATTAATGCAGAGTTATGGTTCTTTGACACTGCACTTTCCCTTTCTAGTCTTTACAACTGTGTGAAGTTTCAATGAGATATCTCTAATAGTTTAGTTTAAGAATAAATAATTTAATTTAATTTAACTTGATGCGAAACAAGTTCTTGCAACTTATAATAATCACTATTGTCAGTCCACTTTCTGGAACCAACCAGTACTGGTGTCATATGAGGAATCATAATAGTGACTCGATTAGGGCTCGAATCCATGATTCCTGGGTTGAGAGGCAGAGACCTAAACCACAAGGCCACCGCTCCCCTTTTACACTCCAGACAAGCTTTATAAAAAACTTGAGAGAGATAATTCATAAGTAAAGCAAAAATGTAAAAAAAACAACTGTTATTTTTCCATCAACAGTGTGATGGATGAACAATAATGATCAGCAACTTTATGCTCCCTCTTTGTGGAGCAAAACAATAGCTTTGAGGAAAGAAATAGAAAAAAAGTTTAAAATTTCTACACCAGAATAGAACAAAGATGTACTTACTGACAACAGAACAGACTTATACTTAAATTTAAAGAAAAGGAACAGATTTAAACATATAAATGAAAAATGTGTTTTTTTACATTGAACTGAAAAAGAGAAAATTATATTTTTACATTTAACTAAAACAAAAAAATTGTTTTAACATTGACCTAAAAAAGAAGAAGAAATTTTTTACATCAAATTAAAACAAGAGGGCCATGATGGCCCTAGATAGCTCACCTGACCCATCAAACTCATCCAAACAATTACCTAGACAAGCATTCTGACCAAGTCTCATGACAGGTGAGTCAAAAATGTGACCACTACAGTGTTAACAAGGATTATCCATATTTGAGCAGTGTGACCTAGTTTTTTACCCAGGTGACCCATATTCAAACTTGACCTAGAAATCATCAAAACAAACTTTCAGACCAATTTCCAGGATACTTGGATCAAAACAGTAGCAACTAGAGTGTTAACAAGATTTTTCTATTTTTAGCTCCTGTGACCTAGTTTCACATGCGATTTCGAACTCATCCGAGCAATTACCTAGACAAGCATCCTGACCAAGTTTGATGCTAATTGAGTAGAAAATGTAACCACTAGAATGTTAACAATGTTTTTCCATATTTGGGCGGTGTGACCTATTTTTTCATCCAAGATGACCCATGTTCGAAATTGACTTAGAAATCATCAAAACAAACTTTCGGACCAATTTACAGGATATTTGGATCAAAACAGTAGCCACTAGAGTGTTCACAAGATTTTTCTATTTTTAGCTCCTGTGACCTAGTTTTTCATCCGAGATGACCAATGTTTGAACTCATCCAAGCTATCACCTAGAAAAAATATCCTGACCAAGTTTAATGATGATTGAGGCAAAATTGTAACCTCTAGAGTGTTAACAAGGTTTTTCTTTTTTTAGCTCAGGTGACCTAGTTTTTCATCCAGGATTACCTATGTTCGAACTCATCCAAGCTATCACCTAGATAAGCATCCTGACCAAGTTTGATGATGATTGAGGCAAAAATGTGACCGCTAGAGTGTTAACAAGGTTTTTCTACTTTTAGCTCCAGTGACCTACTTTTTCATCCGAGATGACCCATGTTCGAACTCATCTGAGCTATCACTTAGACAAGCTTCCTGACAAAGTTTGATGATGATTGAGGCAAAAATGCGACCGCTAGAGTGTTAACAGATGGATGGACGACAGACGGACGACGGACAATCATCGATCCTAAAAGCTCACCCTGAGCATGCTCAGGTGAGCTAAAAAAAGATGAGATTTTCTAACGCAGAAATAAAAAGAGAAAACATGTTATTTAAAATTTGAACTAGAAAGGGAAAAGATATTTTTTTAGGTTTAAAATTGCCTTAAAGTAAATGGCGCATACACAAAGTCATTGCTAAGCAGATAAAACCCTACTTCAAATAGCAGATTCAGTCTGATAATTTGTTCCGGAAACATTTTATAAACAATATTCATGTGTGTAAATTAACAGAGACATTCTTTTTTTACAACTCTTCCAAGAATCGACCACAAGATGATTTAACCAAAATAATTTTACTGTTGATGAATTTTATGAAAATATTTCATAAGATATAGTTTTATGCCCTTGAAAATTGAACCAATAAGGGGAAAAGGTGAACTTTTACTGAAAAGGAGACGGGATCACTTTATACAAAATATAAATAGACCAAAGGAGTTATTTTATTTAGATATGCTCACATAATAGAGAAAGATTTTCTTACAATGGTGTTTTTTCCCCAATTAATTAGGGAGAAGCCTTAGCCTCTTGTTTTTGGGAAAAAGTGTCTTGATTTTGGAAAAAGTCTCTAATTTTTGGGAAAAAGTATCACTAATGCTAAATTGGCAAAAAAATGGGGGGGGGGGGGGGGTAAATTCAGACTTTGGGAAGATGACATGAATTTAAAGAAATTTTCAATCGGGAAGAGGCCTTTTATAGGCCTCTGTTACATAAGGAGAAAAATCAATGAATTATTTATAATATCATAAAGATCACAATATATTATATAAACATAACACAACACAACATTAACAAATGAACATAACATAAAATGACATATCTTAACATTATATAATAGAACATATAATAACATAACAACGTAAACATAACATAAAATAACATATTATAACATTATATAATACAACATATAATAAAACATAACAATGTAAACATAACATAAAATAACATATCATAACATTACATAATAGAACATATAATAACATAACAACGTAAACATAACATAAAATTACACATAATAACATATAATAAAATATCATAACATAACAACATAACGTAACATAACAGCATTAACATAACATAACATAAAAAACATATCATTACATAACAGCATAACATAACATAAAATAACAAATCATATCATATCATAACAAAACAACATAACATAACATACATTGACATAAAAGAATGGAGAGATCTCTAGCAACTTATTCTTTACAAAAAAAGAGGAGGCAAAAATACCAACTTGTTACATAAAGATAACATTATGCAGAACTTGCTATAAATGTCACAAGTGTGAATGTCACAAGTATGAATTTTACAAGTGTAAATGTCACAAGTGTGAATGTCACAAGTGTGAATGATGTGAATGTCACAAGTGTGAATGTATACTCACGTTAAACTCCAGCAGGACATAATAGGTGTCATCGGTGATGGGGGGTCTGTGCTCATAGCTTCCAAAATCCAATGTAAAACACACAGTTGTCGAAACAATGCATCCCTGAATGTTACAATGATATTATGTATAGTAAAAGTGTCCTATTATAAATGTGATACATTATTAGTTATAAAGATTTTTGACAGATTATATGGCCCTATATAAAGTGTTGTTTGGAAATATAACCTAATCCTCTAAATTGCATGGTAAATCATCAATTAAATAATATATTAAATATGTAATATTATTTTTAGGGTTTTTTGTTTTGGTTGAGTTTTATGTTGCACCAACATAGTAAAGGTCATATATATGGCGACTTTCCAGCTTTACTGGTGGAGGAAGACTTTGTTTTAATAATTGAATGTCTTTTTTTTTTTTTTTTTTTAATAAAAGAAATAAATTATTAGTTATGGCTTTATCAAATCATCATCAACAAGATATGTTTGTAAAACATGTATGCCCCCTATCAGCAGCCAATTAGTCATGTGATAAGGTTATTATGCGTGACTTCTGACCCAGTGATCAAACAATTAATAAGGGTTATAAAGTATCTACTGGTAATGACCTTGACCTTTGACCTCTTGACCCAAAACTCAATAGGGGTCATCTGCTGGTCACGACCAATCATCATACAAAGTTTGAAGTTCCTAGGCCTAGGCGTTTTTAGTAAATTGATCAGAAACCGTTTTTACCACCCTTGACCCCAAAATCAATAGGGGTCATCTGCTGGTCATGACCAATCACCATGCCTAGGTTGAAGTTCCTAGGCCTAAGGGTTCTCTTATTATTGATAAAACCGTTTTAACATACAAGGTCAATGTGACCTTGACCTTTGACCCCAAAATCAATAGGGGTCATCTGCTGGTCATGACCAATCACCATGCCATGTTTGAAGTTCCTAGGCCGAAGCGTTCTTTAGTTATTGATCAGAAACCGTTTTTACTTACAAGGTCATTGTGACCTTGACCTTTTACCCCTTATCCCAAAATCAATAGGAGTAATCTGCTGGTCATGACAAATCACCATACCAAGTTTGAAGTTCCTAGGCCTAAGTGTTCTTGAGTTATTGATCAGAAACCGTTTTTACTTAAAAGGTCAATGTGACATTGACCTTTGACCCCTTCACCTAAAACTCAATAGGGGTCATCTGCTGGTCATGACCAATCATCACACAAAGGTTGAAGTTCCTAGGCCTATACGTTTTTAGTTAATTGATCGGAAACCGTTTTTACCTACAAGGTCAATGTGACCTTGACCTTTGACCCCTTGACCCCAAAATCAATAGGTCATCTGCTGGTCATGACCAATCACCATACCAAGTTTGAAGTTCCTAGGCATAAGGGTTCTTAAGTTATTGATCGGAAAGCATTTTTACCTACAAGGTCAAATGTGACCTTGCCCTTTAACCCCTTAACCCCAAATCAATAGGGGTCATCTGCTGGTCATGACCAATCACCATACCAAGTTTGAAGTTCCTAGGCCTAAGGGTTCTTTAGTTATTGATCAGAAACCGTTTTTTACCTAAGAGGTCAATGTGACCTTGACCTTTGACCCCTTGACCCCAAAATCAATAGGGGTCATCTACTGATCATGACCAATCACCATCTCAAGTTTGAAGTCCCTAGGCCTAAGGGTTCTTTCATTATTGATCAGAAACCGTTTTTACCTACAAGGTCAATGTGACCTTGACTTTTGACCCCTTAACCCCAAAATCAATAGGGGTCATCTGATTGGTCATAACCAATCACCATACCAAGTTTGAAGTTCCTAGGCCTTAAGGTTCTTTAGTTATTGATTGGAAACCGTTTTTACCTACAAGGTCAATGTGACCTTGACCTTTGACCCCTTGACCCCAAAATCAATAGGGGTCATCTACTGATCATGACCAATCACCATACCAAGTTTGAAGTTCCTAGGCCTTAAGGTTCTTTAGTTATTGATCGGAAACCGTTTTTGCTTTCAAGGTCAATGTGACCTTGACCTTTGACCCCTTGACCCCAAAATCAATAGGGTCATCTACTGATCAATGACCAATCACCATACTAAGTTTGAAGTTCCTAGGCCTTAAGGTTCTTTAGTTATTGATCGGAAACCGTTTTAGCTTACAAGGTCAATGTGACCTTGACCTTTGACCCCTTGACCCCAAAATCAATAGGGGTCATCTACTGATCATGACCAATCACCATACCAAGTTTGAAGTTCCTAGGCCTTAAGGTTCTTTAGTTATTGATCGGAAACCGTTTTTGCTTTCAAGGTCAATGTGACCTTGACCTTTGACCCCTTGACCCCAAAATCAATAGGGGTCATCTACTGGTCATGACCAATCACCATACCAAGTTTGAAGTTCCTAGGCCTTAAGGTTCTTTAGTTATTGATCGGAAACCGTTTTTGCTTTCAAGGTCAATGTGACCTTGACCTTTGACCCCTTGACCCCAAAATAAATAGGGGTCATCTACTGGTCATGACCAATCACCATACCAAGTTTGAAGTTCCTAAGCCTAAAGGTTCTTTAGTTATCACTCGGAAACCATTTGGTCTACAGACCGACGGACCGACAAGTGCAAAGCAATATACCCCCTTTTCTTCGAAATGGGGGCATAATTAGAACTCCTGTATGGCGTCTGTAACGGTATGGCAAGTGTAACGGTAAACAATACAAAACCCTACAATTACGTTACATTTAACACACATACCTAGTGATATCCAAATCTGGCTCGCTGTCGGCTACAGATTCACGCATTGATATATTTGCGGACAGATTCGTATGCTGCGGCGTATAAGGGCGGGGAGTCTCTTGCTTCTTTTTACGTCTGCTGACAGGGCGGGAGTATGATGTCATCTCTGACGTCACCATGGCAGAGCGAGCACGCTGATATTCCTCCTCATGTTCAGCAAGTGCCATTCTATACAAAAATATTTAAAATGTCTACAGAAACTTAATATTAGAGGTACACACAACAACATCGGAACAAGTTTTATTCAACACATACTTCATTAATTTTGTACCCTCGAGTATGCATTCTGTTACCTTTTTCAAGGCAAAATAAAGAAATGAATAGAAACAAGAATGATTAAAATTAAGTACCATATTATTCAACCTTTCTCTTGAATCCTGAAACAATTTTTTCTTCGTGTATTTGGGAGGTATTTTGGATGTCACTGATTAAAGAAAACAGAACTCGTGCACCAGTATCTCACCAAGGGTTTCCGTGTAGGGGCGCTTTTACTTTTTGCCAAAAGGCTAAATTTTACTTTTTCAACAAACCTTTTCAGGCCCAAGGGCCCCCCCCTGGCGGGCCCTCGGGGTTTTATATTATTTAAAAAATATTTTAAAACCCCCCGGGAATTTTTCCTTTAAAAATTTTTTGCAGCACAAATTTTTTCCCCGGGGGCCCCCCCCAAAAAGTTTTGCTTTTAGTGCATTTAAAAAGGCAAAAAAGAAAAGGGTTTTTATTTGAAGCTTAAAAATTTTTTTCAAAAAATTTTTTCCCTCTTTTTATTTTATTTTTAAATTTTTAAAAAAATTTCTTTTTATTTATTTAAAAACAAGGAAACCTTTTTAAAAATTTCATTTCTCATTTTTTTTTTGAAAACTTTTTAAAAAAAGTTTTTCTAAAAAGGGGGAAAAAAAATTTTTTTGGGGAAATGGGGAAAAAAAAGAAAAAATTTTTTTTTACAAAAAATTTGGGCCCCAAAAACTTATTTTAAACCACCCTTTTAAAAAAAAAAAAAAAAAAAAGAGGGTTCCCAAAAAAAAATTCATTTAAAAAACCTATTTTTTCTGCGTTAAGGGTTAAAAGCAAGGTTAAAAAATTATTTGTAAATTTATTAAATTTCCAAAAAACATTTATTAAAACCAACCAAATTTTTAACATTTTTTTAATTTAATTTAAATTTAAAAAATTGAATCTTTTTACTTTTTTAAGGGGTCTTTTTTAAAAAAATTTTTTTTTAAAAAAAATTTAAAATTTTTTAAAAAAAAATTTTTTCTTTTTTCCCGGAGGGGTTTTTTTTAAAACCCAAAAATAAGATTTTTAATATGGGAAAAAAAACGGGGAAAAAAATTTTAATTTCATTAAATTATATTTTAAAAAAAGGGGAAATAAAAAAAAAAATTTTAAATTAAATTAAAAAAACTGGCCTAAAAAAACTTTCTGAATTTTTTATTAAAGGCAAGTTTCAACTGAAAAACCAAATTTCCCGGTTTTATTTTCCCCCCAAATTTTTGCCCGAAAATTTTAAAAAACCTTAGAAACCCCTTGCATTCAGAAATTTTAATTTTTTTTATTTTCAGGGTTTTTTTTCCCCCCAAAATTTCGTTTTAAAAATTTTTAAGGTTTTAAAAATAGGGGGATTATTTTCAACATATAGTTTTTTTTTTTTAAAAAACAAAAAAAGGGAAAAAATTTCCAAAAATTAGTGGGGTTTTTTTTGTATTTTCCCGGGAAATTTCCAAAAAAAAAACTTGAGGAATTTTTTCCTAAAAAGGGGGTTTTGTTTATAAAAAAAATTTAAATTTTTGTTCAAATTTTTGGGTTTGGGAAAAACTTTTTATAAAGCAAGGGGTTATTGGGGGAAAAACCCCTTTTTCCCAAATTTTGTTTCCCCCGGAACCCAAAAAAAATTTCTAAAAACAAAAAGGGAATTTTTAAAAATTTTTTTTGCTTTTAAGGGAAAAAACGGGGGTTTTCCCCCTTTACAGGGGGTTTTAACCCCCCCGCGGGTTTTAGCAAAACCTAAAAATTTTCTAGTTTCCGGGGCCCTGTTTTTTCAAAAAATTGGGGCCCTTTCAAGCCATTTCAAAGTTTATTAAATTTCGGGGCCCCTTCCTAAATGATTACAGGTTTAAAAAACTATCTTGGGGGGCCCCATAAATTTTTTTTAAAAACCCCAAAAAGATAAAAAAAAACTTACTGAAAAAATTTTCCCTTAAAAAAAAATCAGGATTTTTAATAGTTTAAAAAAATATTTCCAAAAATTTTTTTTTTTGGGGAAGGGCCCCAAAAAGGGGTTTCCCCCTTACTTAAAAATAACCCTTAAAAAAGTTAAACTTTTTTTTTAACAAGGAACCAAAAAAAAAAAAAGCGGGGAAAAAACCCCCTTTTGTTTTAGAAGGAAAATTTTTAAAAATTTATTCCAAAAGTTTTGGAAAAAAAAAAAAAAGGGAAATTAAAAAAATTTGGTTTTGGAAATTAAAAGGGGGAATTGTTAATTTTAAAAAAAAAAAAAAAAAAAATTTCATGGGAAAAAAATAAAATGGTTTTGGGTTGATGAGATTTTAATTTTCTGAAAGAAAAAAAAAAATTTTTTGGGAAAAAAAAAAAAATTGGCGGGGTTTCCATTGGGTTTCTTTTTAATTATTTTTCCCCTTTTTAAAAAGGTTTTTTTTTCCGGGTTCCTTTTGGTTTTAAATTTTTTAAAAAATTGGGAAAAAAGTTAAAAAAAAATTTTTTTGTCCTTTGCTTTTTTTTGAAAAAGGCAAGGGTTTTGTTAAAAAAAAATATTTTAGGCCACCCCCCTTTTTAAATTTTTTAAATTTTTGGTCTTTCATTTACCCCTCGTGGGGGAGTTGGAAAAAGGGAAAATTTTTTTTTTTTTTTTTAAAAATTTTAAATTAAAAAAAGGGTGAAAATTTTTTAGGGGCCCCCTTTTTTTTTTTTTATTTTTTGGTTTTTTTCCAAAAAAAACCCGGGGCCCCCAAAAATTTTTTTGTAAATTTGGGGAAAAAAAAAAAAAAAAAAAACCCGGAAAAAATTTTCCCCTTTTTTTCCCCCCCATGCAAAAAAAAAAAAATTAATTTCCGGAAAAAGCCCCAGCGCAATTTAAAAAAATTTATTAAAAAAAAAATTCGGGGAATTTTGTTTTTAGTTTTTGGGGAATTTTTATTTTTTTAAAACCCCAACCCAAAAAAAAATTCGGAATTTTCCCTTGAATTAAAATTTCCCCCCAAATTTTCCCTGGTAAAAAAAAAAAAAAACAAAAGGCGGCCGCCCCTTTAAAACGGGCCCCCTGTTTTTTTTCCAAAATTTATTTTGTTGGAATTAAAAAAATTTGGGCCAAAACCCAAAAACGGGCTTTTTTTAAAAAATGCCCCTTTTATGAGGGGGCAAACGGCCCCGGGGGTAATTTTAAAGGTTTTTAATTTTTTTCCCAAAAATAATTTTCTAGTATTTAAATTTTTTTAAATTGTTTTTTTTCTTTTCGGGGCGGGGAAAAGCCTTTTAAACCGGGGGGGCCCGGGTTTGGGGGGCAACCCCAAAATCCGAATTTTAGTATTAAAAAACCCGGGGAGAAAAACTGCTTTTTTTTAAAAAAAAGCCAAAAAAAGTTCCAGGGGGGGGCCCCCTTTTGGGCCCCCTTTTTCGGTTTTTAAAAGGGGGCTAGCCCAAACCCCTACTTGGGTTGGAAATGAGGCTGTTAGGAAAAAGTTTTTTTATCTTTAAATGGGGAAAAAAAAAAAAAAAAAGAATTTTTTAAAAATTTTTCTTTTTTTTTCTTTTTGTAATTTGGAAAAATTTGGGAAATAATTTTTTTGGGCCCAAAAATAGTGTTTTTTATGTGGGACCCTTTTTTTCAAGATTTTTTTTTTTTTTTTTTTTTTAATAATAACCCCTGGACCCTTTTTTTAAAGGTTTTTTTTTTTTTTTTTTTTTTTTTGAACAACCTTTTGGGCATTTTTGGAAAAAAAAAAAATTTGGGAAAACCCAAAAAAAAAAAAAAAAAATTTGGGGGCCCGAGTTAGCAAAAAAAAAAAAAAAACTTTTTTTTTTTTTTTTTTTCCCAAAGGAAAAACCCCAAAAAAAAAAGTTTTTAAAAAAAAATTAAAATTTTGGGGTTTTTAAATCCCAAAAAGGGTTTTAAAACCCCTTTTTAAAATGGGCCCAAAATTTTGAAAAAGTTCCTTGGGTTTTGGTTTTTTAAAAATTTAATAAAAAACCCCCAAAAATTTTCCCCTTTTAAATTTTCAGGGGGAAAATTTTAAAGAAAAAACGTCATTAAGTACCCCAAAAAGGATTTTTTTTGCAAATTATAAAGGGGCCAAAGGGCAAGATTGATTATTTTATAAAAATATTTTTCCCCTTTCACCAAAAAAAAAAAAAAAAAAGTCGATCCCTTTTTAAATTTAGGGTTCCCCCGGGGGGGTTTTAGTTTTTAAAATTTTTTTCAAAAATTTTTCCAAAGGGAAAAAAAGGGCTGTTTTTTTGTAAACAATTTTTTTTTAAATAGGTTAAAATTTACGTTGAAAAGGGCTTATTTTTTTTTATAAAAACCTCGTTTAAAAATAAGTTGGGGTTTTGATTATTGGGAAAAAAAAAATGATTTATAAAAAATCAATATTTGGGATTGGGTTTTTAGAAAAAATGTGTTACAAATATATATAAAAAAAAGGGGGGCTTGATTTTTACCAACCCCGAGGGGGTTTAAAAACCCCCTGGGGACCGGGGGAAAAAAATTTTTTCAAAAAAAGGAAATTATTAAAATACAAAACCAAAACCAAAATTGTATTTTTAGAAATTTTTTGAAAAACCCCTTATATAAAGGTTTAGGATGGGTTTTTTTAAAAATTTCCCTTTTTAAACCTTTCCCAATTTAAAAAGGCCCGAATTTATTTTAAAAAACCCGTTAAAAAAAAAACATTTTTAAATTGTTTACAAAAAAAAAAAAAAATTGGGATTTTTGAAAAAGTTTTCTAGGGGGAATTAAATCTTTTTTCCCCCTTTGTTGGGGGCCCTACCCCAAAAAGTTACCATTTTGGTTTTCCCAAAAAAAAAATAAAAATTTTTAAATTTTATTTTAAGGGGGCCCCCTGGGCTTTTAAGAAAATTTTAATTTTTCTTTGGGGCATATTTATTTTTTAAGGGGTTTTTAGTAAAAGTAAAAAAGGGGCGGTGTTGTTCTTTTA